CAATCTTAATGAAAAATTAATCCGAATGAATGATTTGAAGGATTTTACGAATAGAATTAGTTTCATGCTTGTGAACTTGTTTTGCACCATTGATAAATGTTCTTTATACTCACGAGCTGAAAGAAATGCGAGAATGATTTGAAGGATATTACGCAATTAGAAATAAATAATTTATGTTAATATTTGTGAACTTGTTTTGCTGTTTTTAATTCCTGTGATTGATGAATATTCTTTACACTTACTCACTAAATTAATGCAATGAAATGTTTTGAAGGGTATTACGTAATAGGAAATAAATATATATGCTCATAGTTTGTGCGCTTGTTTTTAATTTATAGATTAATAATGTTCTTTATACTTACCAACTAAATTAATGCGAATGAAATGATTTGAAGGTATTACGTATAGGATAAGTATTTATGTTCATGATTCGTGAACTTATTTTGCTGCTTTTAATTCTGTTGATAAATAAACGTTCTTATACTCACAAGCTGAATGAAATAATTAATGCGAATAAAATGATTTTGAGAGTATTAGGTAGTGAGAAATAAATCTATGTCAATGATTTGAGGACTTATTTTGCTGCCTTTAATTCCATTGATTAATAAACGTTTTTTATACTCACTGGCTAAATTAGTATGAATGAAATGATTTGAAGGACATTGGTAATGGGGATTAAGTATTTATGCGAACTTGTTTTATTGTTTTTAATTCCATTGGTTAATAATACTCTTTATACTCACTTTCTAAATTAGCATAATGACATGAAATGAAATAAGTATTTTGTGTTCATAATTTAACTTGTTTGCTGTTTTTAATTCCATCGATTACAACTCTTTTCAAATTACTGTGACCTATCTTGTATAATAAAAAATCTTCAAAATCCTCCAATATTTTCAATTTATAATATTATTTCTAGTAGACCTAGAATTGTTAATTGGTGACAAAAATAATATCAAAAAAAATTTTTTTTCTTTTTTAGTAAAAATTTTGATATTGTTTTGAAAAATTGATTGTCAATTTTAGTCTACTTGAGAAATACTGCAAAATCGAAATATATTGGGAAACTTGAGAATTTTACTTCTAAACAAGTTAATTAGAACTATTTATAAATGCAAAATTTTGATTTTTTTGTGATAGATGATCGTAGTAATTTGAAAAGTGTTGTAATAAAATGTTCTTCATACTCACTCACTGAGTAAAATAATTAATGCAAATAAATAATTTGAAAAGCATTATATAATGATAAATAAGTTTTACATTCATGGTTTGTAAACATGTTTGCCTGTTTTGAGTTATATTGATTAATAATTGTTCATTATACTCACTTGCTAAATGAAATGATTATTGCAAATGAAATAATTTGAGTAATGAGAAAGTTTTAATTTTAATTTCATTGATCAATGAATACCCTTTATACTTACCCACTAAATTAATGCGAATGAAATGATTTGAAAAAAATTATAAATATTATTATATTGCGCTCATGATTTGTGAACTCGTTTTGCTGTTTCATTTCATTGATTAATATATATATTTACACTCACTGACTAATTAATGATTTGAATAGTATGACATAATGGGAATAAGTACTATGTTCATAATTTGTAAACTTGTTTTGCTATTTTTAATTTTATTACTTCATAAATATTCTTGATACTCACAGGCTAAATTAAATGGTTGGCGCAAATAAGTGATTTGAGGTATGTTACATAATGAGAATAATTGCTGTTTTAAATCCCATTGATTAATAAAATTTCTTTATACTCACCGGCTAAATTAATGCGAATGTGATTATTATGTAAAGAGAAATAAGTATTTAGATTCATGATTTTGTACTCTGTTATTTTTAATTATATTGATTAATAAATGCATTTATATTTACCAACTAATTGATGTAGATGTAATGATTTCAATGGTGTTACGTAATGAAATAAGTATTTATGGCCATGATTTGTGAACTTTCTCTGCTTTTTTAATTTCATTGATTAATAAAGGTTCTTTACTCACCGACTAAATTATTGTAAAAAAACGATTTGAAGGACATTACGTCATGGAAAATAAGTATTTATCATGGTTTGTGAACTTTTTCATTGATTGATAAACGTTCTTTATACTCACTAACTAAATTAATGTGAATGAAATGAATTGAAGGTATTGTGTGATTGGAATAAATATATATATTCAACTTATTTTGCTGTTTTTTTTTTTTAACATAATGAAAATAAATACTTATGCTCTTAATTTGTGAACTTCTTTTCTGTTTTTAATTCCATTGATTAATCAATGTTCTTTATACACACCCACTAAATTAATGATTTAAGTTTTAAATAATGAAAAATAAGTAATTATGTTCTTAATTTGTGTTTAATTCCATTGATTAATAAATATACTTTATACTCACATGCTAAATGAAATAATTAATGCGAATGAAATGATTCGGAGGGTATTATTTAAAGGGAAATAAGTATTTGTGTTCATTGTTTGTGAATCTAGAGATGGGCAACATGCGCATGATGCTATGATGAATGCGCATAAAGTGTAACATGAAAATGCTTTATGTGATCGTAATCGATGTAATCGATGTAATTTTTACGACTAAATTAATCATAACCATTTCAAAAAATTTATACATTAGCTTAATTGATGATCTATTTACCGTGCAGGTTTTAATCATTCGCAAGATGCGCATTACATGCATAATGCATTTAACATACTTAAAATGCTCATTTTGCCATCCCTATTTGTGAACATGCTTTGCTGATTTAAATTTCATTATCAATAAATGTTTCTTTATTCTCACCCGCTAAATTAATGAAAATTAAATTATTTAAAGGTATGAAATAATGGGGATAAGTATATATATTCATGATTTGCGAACTTGGTTTGCTGTTTTAATTTCATTGTTTAATAATTGTTTTTTATACTCACGAGCTGAATGAAGTAATTAATACGAACAAAATGATTTTTAAATATATTATGAAGTAGGGAATAAAATATTTGTGTTCGTGATTTTTGAATTTGGTTTACTTTTTATAATTCCATTGATTAATAAATATTCTTTATACTCACGAGCTAAATGAATAATTAAATGATTTGAAGGGTATTAAACAATGGGAAATAAGTATTTATGTTCATGATTTGAGAACTTGTTTTGCTGTTTAATTCTATTGACTAATAAATGTTCTTTATACTCACTTACTGAATGAGATGATTAATGCGAATAAAATGATTTGAAGGTTATTATATAATGGAAAATAAATATATGTGTGAACTTGTTTTGCAGTTTTTAATTCCATAATTAATAAACGTTCTTTATACTTATTAACTAAATTAATACGAATGAAATGATTTGAAGGGTATTACATAATAGGATAAGTATTATGTTCGTAATTCGTAAACTTGGTTTACTTGTTTATAATCCGATTAATCAACGTTCTTTATACTCACAAGCCGAATGAAATAATTAATGCAAAATTAAATAATATGTAGGTATAGCGAGAACTTATTTTGCTGTTATAATTTCATTGATTGATAAATACTCTTTATACTCACGGACTAGAATAATATATAAGAAATTAAATATTTATAAATTTAAATAGTTAATATGTAGATTAATGGATATTTCTATGCTTACTCTCTGATAATTAAAATTGGATAATTAGTATTGTCAAGAGAGATTTCAATTTTAAAATACTAAATATTTTAAAAATCAAAATTAACATACTTTTTAAGCCATTTCAAAAATTCACTACGATTTTTTTTCACACCAACTCCATATTTGTAACAAACAGCAGTCTTATATATCCCATTAGGATTATTTATTTCAGCAGACATTTTATAATGCTCAAACGCTTTGTGTATATCTTTTTCAACTCCAATTCCTAAATGATAACAATAACCCGCTTGATACAATTCGTTAGAATTATTCATACCGGCAGACATTTGATAATAAATGAATGACTTGTTTTCGTCCTTTTCAACTCCAATTCCATGTTCATAACAATAACCTAGCCTATACATTCCGTCTGGATTATTTATACCCGCCAATTCTTGACAATTAATAAAATTCAGTTGATTAAAATCATCAATAATTTGAGTTGGTTCTTTATTTTCCATTTTGACGAAAACAAGAATTGTCATACCGGTACTGCTGTACTTTATATTTAAATTTACAGTGGTAATACGACATAATTTACTGGTAAGCAATATATCTTAAATTGGTGCAGTATCTGCACTGATTGGGGGCTTTACTCATTTGTGCCGGTAATACAAAAAAAAAAGGAAATCGAAGTTTAGGATTAGGACGTTAGGGTTGTGAGCTTTAGCAATACGTTGGAGTTTCTTATATGTAAAATTTCATCCCCATTACTTTTATTAGTCCAATAAGATCGATTTAAACACTAGTTTTTGAGTAGCTTCGTTTTCTTTTCTTTTTTCTTCTTTCGCACGTGTTCGGATTCTATGTGGGGCTGATCCGGAATACCCAAAATTTGTGTTCTCTGATTGGTTATTTCCTTTTTAGAGGTTTGTATTACCGTTACCGGCACAAATAAGTAAGGCGATGTCGATCACAAATTTCATAATAAAAAATTTATCCCCGTGATCTGCGTGACATCTTGACATTGAACTTTACTAATAAAAACCAAAAATAAGTTGGACAACTGGTTGAAAATTAAACAGATAATAATATTTATTTAGAGAATGTAATGCAATTAATAATTTATATATAAAAACCCTTTAACCTCAAATTCAATTAAACCATTCAAATTAATGAAAAATGTGTGAGCTCATGTCTTTAACCAAAAATAAATCAAGATTGAGCAAAAAAGAACAGACAATAATTCTTTGAGTTTATTTAAAACATTCACGAGAAGAGATATGTATTTTGCACTATTTCCGAACTAATTAGAAAGATTAAAACAGATTCTGAAGCTATTTTTAAATTAGCTAATAAAATTTTATTAGAAATAATAAAGCAAAATGAAGTAGAATCCTGGATGGAGTTAAGATATGGTGTTGTTAAGTCACTCAGGAAAAACGGTCAAACTGAATAAATTTAGCTAGATTTAATTTTGCCTGTGATCAAGAAAGAATTTTAAAATATTAGAACTGAATACAGGAAGTAGTGCTGGCTGGGAATTTTCAGTTTTGATCGAGAAAGAAGCATCACCTACAAAATTGGTGTTCTTTTTGTCCCACAAATAATTTTAGCAATTTATTTGCTAAATAAGCTAGGATCAAAAATAGCCATTTTTATTATAAAACCATTTCCAGAATGAAATATATTGGTAAGACAAATTGAAGCATGGATAGAAAAGCCAAAATTTTCAATTTCATTGAAATTAGTTTCTAAGACATTATCGATTTTGCACCTACAGAAATATTTTGGAGATGCCATGCAGGATTGGTTAGTGTTCCTAAATAAGCCAGCTTGCTGCGGCTTATTTGTCACACCCCAGGCTTGCTGCGGCTTACTGCAGCTTATAAGCCTGTGTAACTATGTAAATTTAACTTTAATTTAATATTTAACCTAATATTAAATTTAAAATTTTATTAATAAAAATATAAAAATATATAAAAATATAAATATTTATTTAAATTTTAAATATTATAAATTACTAGTTATTATGAATGTATTATTTTAATTATTTAATTAAATAAAACAAGTATTTTATAGAGATTTGTTATTGCATTTTTGTTTATACCCCCAGATATCAAAAGTGCTCCAGAAGAGGTATTTTTATTATGTAAATCCTTATCTTTATCTTAATAAAAGTTGTTCACCAGGCCATTCCGGTTCTAATGGTAGTAAAATCATTAAAATTGGACCAGTATATCCTAAGATATATATATCTGAATTTAGCTAATCTTTATTGTGAGGTCGGAAAAACGTGATCTAAAAATCGTTGCGCCAACTCACATTATCCCGGTTAGGATGATCTCTTACCCTAAAAGGAGTTGCCGGCGATATATTGAATATATTGAAGAAATTAAATATATCCCAGATAACTAATATAATGAAGATAATAGATAAAACCGATTTAATAGATATAGTAGTTTTATTCGATATAACCCATATAATCAATTTAATAAAGATAATAGATATAAGAGATATAATGATTTATTATAAATAAAGGCATTATCGCCCCGAGAAAAAGATGTCTCGTTTTGCTTCAGTAATAACTAAGTCCCAAGTTTATTAAAATACATTTGCTTATAACACTACATAAAATACTATTGCGCTAAAATACACTCTTTGATCCATAAAGTTATAAACTGACAAGTCATTGCACACGTGACCTAACATTGCTGACCCAAAGTAACCGAAGCCTAAATTACCCTCTAGCCAAATCTAACACACCTCTTTTGTAAAGTTACTTACCGTAGGTTACGCGAGTTTTTGGATTGTGAAGCGACTGACTCGCCGTATTTCACCCGTGACATTATCTACTTTTTAAAAAAAAAACTACTAGCCAAATTTTAATGATTTTACTACCATTAAAACCGGAAAGGCCTGATGAACAACTTTTATTAAGATCAAAATAAGGATTTACATAATAAAATACCTCTTCCGGAGCACTTTTTTAAAATTTGGGGTGGCATTTAGTTCAAATTAAACCCACTTTGGATCTATTTGAACCAGAATTTAGTTCAAATTGAACCACTTCGGGCTTAATTAGACCAGAACCTGGATCAAATTTAAACTACTTCGGGTCTAATTAGACCAGAATTTGGTTTAAATTGAACCACTTCGGGTTTACTTAAACCAGAACTTGGATCAAATTAAGCCACTTCGGGTTTATTTAAACCAGAACCTGGTTTAAATTAAGCCACTTCAGGTCTACTTAAATCAGAATTTAGTTCAAATTGAACCACTTCGGGTTCACTTGAACCAAAATTTGAGCTACTTTTAAGCAGTTACGCAAATCACGTGACCAAGATTTTGTGTAACCTTAACTTTTGCCAGAATGCACAATTACGGAAGTCACGTAATCTCTATTTGTATTATATTACGCGCAACTAAGTCGGAAGGGTCGGAGGCCGGATATCAATTCTCTATATTTATAATATATTTATGTTATGCATAATTTAACCCATGATAAACCCACGATATATTTATAGTTTTGTTAATATTTTATTAAATAACCATGTTAACACCATGATAACACCACGATGACATCATAATATACAGAAAATTTTGCCACACAATCCGGCCTCCGACCCTTCCGACCTAGTTGTGCGTAACGTAGTACAAATAGAGGTTACGTGACTTCCATAATGGCAAAAGTTAAGGTTACACAAAATCTTGGTCACATGATTTGCGTAACTGCTTAAAAGTAGCTCAAATTTTGGTTCAAGTGAACCCGAAGTGGTTTGATTTGAACCAAATTCTGGTTTAAGTAGACCTGAATTGGTTTAATTTAAACTAGGTTCTGGTTTAAATAAACCCGAAGTGGCTTAACTTGATCCAAGTTCTAGTTTAAGTAAACCCGAAGTGATTCAATTTAAACCAAATTCTGGTCTAATTAAACCCGAAGTGGTTTAATTTGATCCAAGTTCTGGTCTAATTAAGCCCGAAGTGGTTTATTCAATTTAAACCAAATTCTGGTCTAATTAAACCCGAAGTGGTTTAATTTGATCCAAGTTCTGGTCTAATTAAGCCCGAAGTGGTTTAATTTGATCAAGTTCTGGTCTAATTAAGCCCGAAGTGGTTCAATTTGATCCAAGTTCTGGTCTAATTAAGCCCGAAGTGGTTTAATTTGATCCACATTCTAGTCTAATTAAGCCCGAAGTGGTTCAATTTGATCCAAGTTCTGGTCTAATTAAGCCCAAAGTGGTTCAGTTAGATCCAAGTTCTGATTTAAATGAGCCCGAAGTGGTTCAAGAGAGCCAAAGTGGTTCAATTTGAACTAAATTCTGGTTCAAATAGACCCAAAGTTTAATTTGGTTAATGCCACCCCAAAATTCACCGGAAGAGGTATTTTTATTATGTAAATCCTTATTTTGGCCTTAATAAAAGTTGTTTATCAGGCCTTTCCGGTTTTAATGGTAGTAAAATCATTAAAATTGGGCCAGTAGTTTTTTTTTAAAAAGTAGATAAAGGTTAGCTGAATTCGGATATATATATCTTATTATTAAAGACTATTCTATATGTTTCTCTCTAATTTAAGCTAAACTGACTAATTACTAAAGACCATTGTTCTATTTATGTAACACAATGATCAATCATGCAGCACATAAGTTACACAAACCCAATTCTGATCCTGTGCTACTGAACACGTGTCTACCAAATCTACTATGTCAATTGTAGTTAATTATACATAGCAAACATGTATTTAAAGATCTGCTTTTGACTTTAATAAAATTCTTCAGACTTTGATCTGTAAAATAAAACAAAAACTCTTATAAGTTAGTAGGCATTTCAAAGCTGAAGGCAACTTATAGTTATCTTGAATCATTGTATTCTTGCATGCTTCTTGTTAGCATTAAGTTAATGCTCATTATTATTTTATTAGCACATTATTAGAAATTGATACATCAATTAACTATTTCAACTCTTATATATGACATTGTTAGAATTACTCTATATATCCTTATTTTTGCATGCCCAATTACTTATTACAATCTAGCATTATTTACTTCAAAACACCTCTGATTATCTCTATCTGTATTTACTCGATATCCCTTCATGTGCCTATATTCCTGGCCTATATTGTTTACTATCCTGAATTAAACTGGCAATTTCTGATCCAAGCTCTCCCATTTCTGATAATAATACCGTGAACAAAGTCTATATATTTTTATTTACTCTCTATATATAAATTTCATATAACATTAATGCATAAGTAGAACTTCAGTTATGCTAAAGAAAACAAATCTCTTTTTATATAATTATACCAGATACAAAGCTATTATTTTTAATATACAAGTTGTATTAGTTATATTGACTATCATTATTATTATATTTATATGATTTTAAGATTATAAATAATATAAAATTTCTTTGATTTCAGTTGTTTTAATGAACAAGCAAGAAACTTTAAATATTTAGGATATAGCAGTTTATTTGTAAAATAATATTTATAGAAAAGCTTCATAGAAACAAATTATTATTTTCTTAATCCCTTAAATAAATCGATTATTCTAAAGAAAGTATTAGCAAAGGAACTTTGCAAAATCTCTATTTAACTTAGATCTTTTCATAATGATATAGGTTGAGAAAGATTAAAATATCTTCGTGTATTAGTATTTGAAAAAATTCTTTGTATAATAACTGTTCTGACTTTTTAAAATCTTGAAGACATAAACTTTAACCTGACAAAAAAAGTACATTATTAGAATCTCTATGTAAAAACATAACTCCGACTTTTTTGAATCTTAAAAGACATGTTAAGTTCTAAAGAAAAAAAAGCGATAGCAGAGAAATTTCATATAAACTTGAAAAATATTGTTTGGACATGAAAGAAGAGCATTAATGGAGATTAATAACAAAGACATATCTCTACTTTATTGAATCTTGAAAAGTATGAACTAGATCTTAAAAAAGGAATATCACTAAAAAGGGCTTTTTATATAAACACTATTATACCTTTCTAAAATCTTCAATTTAGAGATTTCAAGCACCTTATTTAATAGATTCAAGTAAAATTTTAATAATTGGTTTAAATTGTATTTTGATTAATTAGATTTATTGAAGTGATCATAATAACATTTATACAGAAAATTCATTGACAAATATTAGCTAATTATAGCCCCCTGGGATTATGATTTGACACATATATAATTTCTATATGTGACAAATTCGAATTTATCACATAACAAAACCGAATTTATTGCAAAAGTATCAATTTTGATAGATTATCAGCTACATTTTTGATAGATCTACATTGTAAGTTACGTTCTTGATGCATGATACATACCTTAAAAATTCAAATTTTTCATAACTTTGAGAAAAGATATATTGTCAAATACCCAACCAAAATTTATGATTTTTTTATTTTTGATCCTATAGTACTGTAGAATCAAAATGAAAGATTTTAGTTGGGTGGTTGACAAGTTATCTTCATTCAAAATTTACAAAAATTTTACTACGGCGTTATTTTAATAGGCGTTTTAAATGTTTCCAAAACTTTGAACAAAGATATCTTATTAACTACCCAACCAAAATTATTGAATTTTTTTTATTTTAATTCTATAGAACTTTA